AAACGTCAGCCTCTCTGCTCCTATGATGCTGCTTGGCCTGCTGTGTTCATCCAGCCCTGCACCTTGTTGTCTCGGATTCTCCAGCATCTGCAGTTCCTACTATCTCCAGCTCTTGCCTGTTACAGGATGTACACTTGTTCATGCACTTCATGCATTACAATCGTTGTTTTTTAATAAACTACTTTAAAATTACTGATGAGTTCAATCCCCTTTTCTTCCGTAACCTGTGTCTTCCAAACTCAAACTTTTTACCAAAACCTTTGTTCTGGAAATCTTAGCAGTTCTGCTAAGGTGACCTCGTTGTTTTACAAAGTTTATGGGAAGACACCTAATGGGACCGCTGGTTTGATAAATGTGTATAATATATATTACCATTTTAAAATTTGAATTTTTTTAAATAGATGCATAGGGGTTTTGGTTTCAGCTCTGAGAAGGTGACTTTAACAGATCAGAAAATCATTTGGAAATGTGACTTAAATATATAATTTCCAATAAATCATATGATTTAGTAAGTGCCTAGCCAGATATCTGTGGTGTTAATCAATGAAGTGTTTACACTGCTCAGTTTATGACATATAGAAGAAAATCATCGGGGCCACCAGTAACTTAGTTTGTGTTCAGTTCAGAAGAAACATTTTCATTCAATTTTGAGCAGGGCAGTTTTTAGGTTGGTAGAATTTTCAGGTTGTGAATGTTTGTAGAAATCTCTTGACAGTCAAAACTAAAAAGGAATCCGGGCCATCCAAACTAGAAAGAAGTCTTTAAAACATTTCAGCAGTCCAAAAAGAAGACCATAAGACATAGGAGCAGAAATTAGGCCATTCAATCATGGCTGATAAGTTTCTCAACCCTATCTTCCCACTTTCTCCTCGTAACCCTTGATCCCCTTGACAGTCAATAACCTATCTATCTCCGTCTCATACATACTCGAAGACCTGGCCTCCCCAGCCTTCTGTGGCAGTGAATTCCATAGATTCACCACTCTCTGGCTGAAGAAGTTTCTCCTTCTCTCTGATCTAAAAGGTCTTCCTTTTAGTCTAAGGCTGTGCCCTTGGGTCCTAGTCTCTTCTACAAATGGCAGCGTCTTTCCAACATCCACTCTGTCCAGGCCATTCAGTATTCTGTAAGTTTCAATTAAATACCCCCTCATTCTTCTAAACTCCATTGAGTATACACCCAGAGTCCTCAAATGTTCCTCGTGTTAAGCTTTTCATTCCTGGGACCATTCTCGTGAACCTCCTCTGAACCTGCTCCAGAAAATCTGTGAAGAGTCGGTTAAGTAAGAATTTTAAAAGTCAAGTTAGAAGTGCTATTTCTCTGGGATTGAGTATCTGAAAAGGATACTGCTGGGGTAAAGTAGGCTGAAACTTTGCTGTTTATGTTAAGGTAAGGTGTCATACATATAACATTTCTTTGAATGTAGTGGACCTGTGTTTGTTCTTTAAGGAACAATGGTAGCCACATGTGAATAGTTCAGTGACTAACTGCCATGTTAATCAACTGACAAAAATTAAGCTTATGATCTGTCAAATCAAGTTTTACTCTGGGATCTGTTTACTATTACCATCAGCGATAATGCGCACAGCTTCTCTCTACTGCCCCCTGCTGCCTAAACTCACTCTCTCACCTCACCTGTCTCATTTAATATGAAAATCTAGTCATAAGAGAGTCATAGAGGTGTACAGCATGGAAACAGACCCTTCGGTCTAACTTGTCCATACTGACCACGTATCCTAAATTAATCTAGTCCCATTTGCCAGCATTTGGCCCATATCCTACCTTTTCATATACCCATCCAAATTCCTTTTAAATATTGTAATTATACCAGCCTCCACCATTTCCTCTGGCAGCTCATTCCATATATGCACCAACCTCTGCGTGAAAAAGTTGCCCCTTAGGTCCCTTTTAAATCTTTCCCGTCTCACCTTAAACCTATGCCCTCTCGTTTTGGACTCCTGAACCCTGGGATAAAGATGTGGAGGTGCCAATGTTGGACTGGGGTGGGCAAGGTCATAAATCACACAACACCAGGTTATAGTCTGAAGGAGTGAGGCTCCGAAAGCTTGTGTTTTCAATTAAGCCTGTTGGACTATAACCTAGTGTCATGTGATTTCTGACCTGGGAGAAAGCACTTGGCTATTCACCCTATCCATGCCCCTTATGATTTTATAAACTTCTATAAGGTCATCCCTCAGTCTCCAACACTCCAAAATAGCCCCAGTCCTGCCAATCACACTCCAGTTCCCACGGTGCCCCTGTTTTGGCACTTGATGTAAGGATCTGAATCCAAATTTGAATTTTAATAAACAATGCCCTGTCACTTCCCTGATGTGAACCCTCCCACTTTCACCTTTCTGGACGATGACCCACTTCATCATTTTCAGCTACTACACTGACCATGTTTCCAAAGTAATTGACAGTCTTTTGGATAAATTTGCTCCTCTTTGAAGTTGATGGATGATTAAAACATCATTCTAACTACCTTCTCACTGTGCCACCCATCTCTGAATGGAAAGTTTGTTGATGAGCATGTGGAATGATGGAAGGATAGTTAAGATGGTGTTTCAATCTTATTCACTAAAACACGTAGAGGTCCACGTGGTAATCAATTATTTTGGAAGGAGAAGTCATTTTTTAGAAATGAGACAAATTGAATTGTAAATTTTTTTCTGTAAAATCATTTACGAAATGTGAGTGCCACTGGCTAGGCCAGCATTTAATGCCTATCCCTAGTTGCCCAGAGGGCAGTTAAGTGTCAACCACATTGCTGTGGGTCTGGAATCACACGGAGGACAGACCAGGTAAGGATGGCAGATTTCTTTCCCAAAATGACATTTGTGAACCAGATGGGTCTGTCCCAACAATTGCCAATGGTTTCATGCCAATCATTGGAGTCTTAATTCCAGATTATTTTAAAAATTGAATTCAAATTCCACCATCTGCCGTCACAGAGTTCAAACCTGTGGCTCCAGAACATTACCTGGGTCTCTCAATTAATAGTCTAGCAATAATACCACAAGGCCATTACTGCCCTATTGCTACTATCTTTGCAACAATCAATTAACAACAATGAAATCAACTAACTGCTCTAGCAGAGTAGTCCAGCAGTATGCCCAAGCATGGGGGGGGGGGATGTGATGGCCTAGTGGTATTATCTCTGGACTGTTAATCCAGAGACCCAGGTAATGTTCTGGGGAATCCTGCCATGGCAGATGGTGAAAGTTGAATTCACTTTTTAAAAATCTGGAATTAAGGGTCAGATGATGACCGTGAATCCATTGTCGATTGTCGGATAAACCCATCTAGTTCACTAATGTCCTTTAGGGAAGGGAACTGCCATCCTTACCTGGTCTGGCCTACATGTGACTCCAGACCCACAGCAATGTGGTTGCCTCTTAACTGCTCTCTGGGCAATTAGGGATGGGCAATAAAAGCTACCTGGCCAATACCACCCTCATCCCGTGAATGAATAATGAAAGAAGATGAATGGATATTGAAAGGATAAGATTTTGAATGTGGTTTAATTATAGGGAGAATGTGACCTACCAGACCACCCCATTCGGATGATAGCAGGTACACCTCCCATAGGAGGAAAATACCGCCTGAATTGCTGGATTGTTGGCCTTGTCCTCCTGCACAATGCAGTTAATCTTCTTCTGTTTGTCAGTAAAAATCTGAACTGCCAGATTTCCAGAGGGGTAGCTGTTTGTTGTTAAGGAAATGAGGCAAATCAAACCTTCATGTTATTGTTCTGATATGAAGGATTGAAACTCCTGGGGAGGTGGACATATTGCCTGATGCGGGTTTGAAGATCAGTCTAGAGTATGTTAACCCCTCTCAGCTAGGACTGAAGTAGCAGTACTACAAACAGCAAAGCATCGTATCTTCGATCAACAACCCATCGTCAGTCCTGAAATCCTGAAATGTACAATTTTCTTAATAAGACCATAAGCTGTATGAGCAGAACTAGGCCCTTCAGCCCTTCACCTGTGCTCCGCCATTCAATAAAACCATGGCTGATCTGATAATCCTCAACACATCTCTGCAAATGTTGAGTATTTTCCAGCATTTCCTGCTTTTATTTCAGTTTTCTAGCAGCTGCAGCTCTCTATAAGCTTATCGTATCTTGCTCCTGGCTAGTGAACAATGCGATGAAGTATGAGTCCAGGAGGCTGGTTCAGGAAAGGGTTATCCTGCAATACCTAAGCACTCCACTGGCTGTGTCCACCCAGATTCCCCCTTCCGACCTGGTGGGAAACAGCATTTGAGCAGATCCTTGTGAAAGCAACCAGCATGAGTCACAGGGGCTGAAATCAGTCATTGGCACTGGTACACAGCAGGCTCGCAATCCACCGCCTACATTTTTTTGCCACTGGAAGCCGGTGGATAAGAAAATGGGATAGTGGGCTGGATGTTACGTGGTTCCACTGGGTGTATTTCCATGGAAGGTGCATTTGTCACAAACAAGTGAGCTGTCAGCTGATAAATCCTCGCAGTAATACCTGACAACAGGCAGAAAGAGTGGGGAGTCTCTGGGTCAGCCATCCTGTTGAAAGTATTCACAAACCACTTAAATACTTCACTCATAAGTGGACCAACCTCATGGAAGTTCATGGCCCAATCTTTGGAAACAAGGAATGGGAGAAAAGACAGGAAAACTGAGTGCACTCAATAATTTGTATTAAAGCTTTCGCCACATCGCTTGGAGGGAAATACTGCATGTTTGTTGTCCCAATAAAATGCATCCTGCATCTAAAACAATTCAATTTCCACAAAGGATACAATACTTGAGCCATTCCATCTGGGAAAGCGGTAAGAAACTTATTCCCATTCCTGTAGTATTTCACCATGAAAGATAGCTGAAGATCCTTTGTACAAAAGTAAACATGAAACAAAGGTGAAGGTTGCAGTCTGTACATTTGCCTTGAACTTTCACAGTGAGAGTGAACACGCATTCGGTTTGTTTGAGACACTATTTTGCTGAAGGTGTTGATGTTTTTGTTTTAAGGAGTTTAATACTTTCATAAATTGGGAGGGATTTCAGATAAACTGATTCAGCATTTGGACAATACTCATAGTCACATCATAATAAATGTCAGGCGAGAAGATCATGCTGCCAGTCAAACATTCCTTCATCATTACTGTGTGATTTCATCGAATCCCTACTGTGTGGAAGCAGGCTATTCAGCCCACACTGACCCTTCAAACAGCATCGCATCCAGACCCACCCCCCTACCCTATCCCTCCATTTCTCATGGCTAATCCGCCTAGCCTATACACCCCTGGACACTGTGGGTAATTTAGCATAGCCAATTCACCTAACCTGCACATCTTTGGACCGCGAGAGGAAACCCACACAGACCTGGAGAGAATGTGCAAACTTCACACAGACAGTCACCTGAGGCTGAAATCGAGCCCAGATCCCTGGTGCTGTGAGGCAGCTGTGCTAAATCATTGAGCCACCATGTATCAGTCATAGTATTTAGAGCCATACAGCATGGAAACAGACCCTTCAGTCCAACTCGTCCATGCCAACCAGATATCCTAAATAAATCCAGTCCTATTTGCCAGCATTTGGCCCATATCCATCTAAGCCCTTCCTATTCGTGTACCCATCCAGATCCCTTTTAAATGTTGTAATTGTACCAGCCTCCACAACTTCCTCTGGCAGCTCATTCCATACATGCACCGCCTTCTGCGTGAAAAAGTTGCCCTTAGGTCCTTTTTAAATCTTTCCCCTCTCTCCTTAAACGTATGTCCTCTAGTTTTGGACTCCCTACCACGCCCCTCATGATTTTATAAACCCCTATAAGGTCACTCCTCAACCTTTGACGCTCCAGGGAAAATAGCCCCAGCCTATTCAGCCTTTCCCTATAGTAGCAGTAATAGTGTAGTGTAATAGTAGCTGAACACCGAAACCTTGAACTCCTCCCTAGCTATTTTCTCTACTTGGTACCAATCACCCTAAACAGATTCTGTATGATCTGTCTATTGAGTTTGGTCTTCACCTTGTCTTTGACCTATGCTTTCTGGCTTTGGAATTGCATGAATAACAGACAGATTCATCAACATGAAACCATCTATTTTTTCCAATTCTTTCACAGCATGGGTGTCACTGGCATGGCCAGCATTGTTGCCCGATCTGAATTGGCAGTGAATTGGATGGCATACTTGGCCATTTCAGGGTTGATCACATTATCATGTGTCTGGAATCTATGAAGTTAAACATAAAAGTGTTGCAAAAACAGGAGTTGCTGGAAAAGGTCAGCAGGGCTGGCAGCATCTGTGAAGAAAAATCAGAGTTAACATTTCGGGTTCAGTGACCCTTCTTTAGAACTGACGGTAACTGGGGAAACGTCGGTTTGTATGCAGAAGATAGGGAGGGGGAGGGGGTAAGGAGTAAACGGTAGGATAAAGCCCAAAGAGAGAGAAGAACAGTTGGACAGACAAAGGAGTTGCTAACGATCAGGCTGGGAGCGTGAATAGTTGTTAATGGGGGCTATTGGTGACTAACAACAGGGGGTATGTAATCATAGGCTATGTGGTAACAAGGTCTGGTGAGTGGGGTACGGGGCTGGGACATGGGGGAGTTTAGGCCCTAAAATTATTGAACTTGATATTGAGTCCAGAGGGCTGCAGGGTCCCCAGCAGAAAATGAGGTATTCCTCCAGCTTGCGCTGAGCTTTGATGCAACACTGCAGCAAACCTGAGGCAGAGATGTTGGCCAGGGAACAGGGTGTTGTGTTAAAGTGCAGGGAACTGGAAGTTCAGGGTCTTTTCTGTGAGCAGAACGTAGATGTTCTGCAAAGTGGTCACCCAGTCTACGCTTTGTTTCCCCAGGGTAGAGGAGACCACATTGTGAGCAGCGAATGCAGTAAGCTAGATTGTGGGAAGTGCAGGTGTTGCTTTGTTTGGTATGTTTGGGCCCTTGGATCCCCCGTGGGCTCTATCCCCACCTTTCTTTACTCCTTACCCCCTCCCCCTCCCTATCTTCTGCATATAAACTGACATTTTCCTAGTTACCAACAGTTCTGAGGAAGGGTCTCCGGGCCTGAAATGTTAACTCTAATTTTTTCTTCACAGATGTTGCCAGACTTGCTGAGCTTTTTCAGCAACTTCTGTTTTTGTTCCTGATTTACAGCATCCACTGTTCTTTCGGTTTCTACAAAAGTGTTGCATATGTGAGACTATGTTCCTAATGCATACATTCAACACAGTCTGGTTTAGAACGTTATCCAAACAGGGATAGATGCAGAATAATGGTGAGAAGGCTCACCTGGAATGTAAACACTGGCCTGGGCCAGTTGGATTAAAGGGTCTAATATGTTTGTCTTGTATATTCTATGTAGTTCTATGCAATTGGCTCAATAAACAGTAAGGTCATAAAACTGACAAAACAAAGTTTGACAACACATACCTTGTGCCAACTGAATAAATCATCCCTTGACTCTGTGAAAATGTTTTCCCAATTTTCACTTTCACCTTTTACTTCCTTTAACGTTACAAAATCCAATGACGTGGATAACTGAAAAGTAATTGTACTCAGTTTTTTTGGTCCTGGATTGAAGGTGGTGGAGGGTGAAGTGAGAAACAGACAGGGAGAGAAAAGCAATGAGACAGATATCAAAAACTGTCAGCATTTTCAAACATGTAACATGTAGACAGGTGAGGGCAGCAGATACATGGGAACACCGCCTTCAATTTCCCCTCCAAGCCATTCACCATCCTGACTTGGAAATATATCACTGTTCCTATACTGTCGCTGGGTCAAATCCTGGAATTCCCACATTAATGGCATTTTGGATGTATCTACAACACACAGCCTGCAGCGGTTCATGAAGGCAGCTCACCACCGCCTTTATCAACGGCAACAGAGATGGGCAATAAATGCTGGGCCGGCCAGTGACACCTATGTCCCATGAGTGAATTTTTAAAAAAATTAAAACTAAGGTCTCAGCATGTAACCTGTCAGGCCTCTAAAGAACCTGAGATCATTTCTCATCTGAACTCCAGAGAATGCAGCCCCAATCTACTCAACCTGTCACCCATTTAATGGTAGGGCCTTGGATAGTGTTGGAGAACAGAGGGACCTTGGGGTTCAGGTACATAATTCTTTGAAGTTTGCGTCACATTTAGCCAGGGTGGTTAAAAAGGCATTTAGCACGCTTGCCTTCATGGCTCAGTCCTTTGAGTATAGGAATTGGAAGGTCATGTTGAGGTTGTACAGGACATTGGTGAGGCCTCTTCTGGAGTACTGTGTCCTGTTCTGGTCACCCAGTTACAGGAAGAATATCATTAAGCTGGACAGGGTTCAGAAACGATTTACCAGGATGTTGTCGAGTATGGAAGGTTTGAGTTATAAAGAAAGGCTGGATAGGTTGGGATTTTTTCACTGGAATGTAGGAGGTTGAGAGGCAACCTTATAGAAGTTTTGTAAAATAATGAGGAGTATAGATAGGATTAATGACAGGGGTCTTTTCCCTGGAGGGGGATTACAAGACCACGGAGCATATTTTTAAGGTGAGATGAGAGAGATTTAAAAATGATATATGGGCAAATTTTTTTACACAAAGGGTGGTTCGCGTGTGGAATGAACTTCCTGAGGTGGACGTGGGTACAATTACAACGTTTAGAAGACATTTGGATAAGTACATGATTAGGAACAGTTTAAAGGGATATGGGCCAGGAGCAGGCAGGTGGGATTAGTTTAGTTTGGGAATTATGTTGGACTGAAGGGTCTGCTTCCGTGCTGTATGACTCTATGACTCTTGATAATCCTCTCACCCAGGAATCAATCTAGTGAGCCATCACTGTACAGCTGCCTGGTTAAATACATCCATCCTTCAATAACACAATCAAACTGTGTTTAATACTCCATGTGTGATTACGCCAAAGCCCTGTATGATTGTAGCAAGCGTTCCTTACTCTTGTATTTTAGATTTCTGACTTTCCTTGTATACTAACTTACTGTGTTTCTGATAAAAGGATGTCCATGTCTCTGTGAAAATCTAATTTTAGAAGTTTCTTATTATTCGAAAACAAACATTCTGGTTTTCTATTCTTTCTCACAAAGTGAATTCCCCATCTTTTACTCCATCTCAGAGTAACAGAGTTGTTACAGAGCAGCAGGGGGCCATTTGGCCCACCTGCCACAGTACTGCCCACCATACCCACTACGAACCCTCTTCGTGTCCTCCTCACACATCACTGTCCCACCTGTCTCTGCATTGTCAGCAAATTTACATAAATTATCCTCGGCCTGTTAAGACCATAAGATGGAACAGCAGTAATAGGCCATTCAGCCCACTGGCTCTGCTCTGCCCTACAATGAGATCATAGCTGACTTGATAACCCTCATTGCCACATATGCCAAGATTCCTTTACTGAATAAAAACCTGTCTACCTCAGCCTTGAATGTACTTAACCAATCAGCCTCATCAGCTCTGTGAGGAAACAGAAAGAACGGGCAATGGATTTTTTTTGGGTTGGAAGATGGTTTGTAGTAGAGTTTCCCAGGGGTTAAATTTAGGACCTTCCTTTTCCTAATGTATATTAGTACTCTAGATTTTGTTGTGCAAGGGTCAATTTCAAAGTTTACAGATGACACAAAACCTGGAAGAAATGCAAACTATAAGGAGGACAATGGCAACAAATGAAAGCTTTTCACTATTTTATTGTAAAATACACATGACAATAAATCATTCATTCATTCAATCAATGTCCAGAAAGCCAGAAATCAGATGACACCAGGTTATAGTAAAACAGGTTTATTTGAAATCACAAGCTTTCAGAGCACAGCTCCTTTGTCAGGTGAAGTTGACATTGACAAGTTGTTGGAGTGGGTAGCTAGACAGCAGCGTATTTTCCATGCAGAGAAGTTGGAGTAACGTACTTTTGGTATGAAGAACATTGAAAGACAATATTACATAGGTGTGCAATTCTAAGGGGGTGAAGGAGCAGTGAGACCTGGGTGCACAGATCACTGAAAGTGGCAGGACAGGTAAAGACAACAGTAAGTAAAGGATACAGTATTCTCAGCTTTATTAATTGGGCCATAAAGTACAAAAGCAAGAAGGTGGTGTTCAACTTGTACAAGACACTTGTTTGACCTCAGCTGGAGTATTGTGTACAGTTCTGGGCATCATATCTTGTGAAAGATGTGAACGCGTAGGAGAAAGCTCCAAGGATGAGGAACTTCAGTAATGAGGATAGATTGAAGAAGACGGGATTGTTCTCCTTGGAGAGGAGAAGGCTGAGAGGAGATCTGATAGAGGTTTTCAAAATCATGAGCGGGCTGGATAGAGTTGATAGGGACAGGCTGTTCCTGCTTGTATAAGCAACAAGAATACACATGAATTTAAAGTGATCTGCAGAAGAAGCAAGGGTGAAGGGAAACTTGTTCATGCAGCAAGTGGTTAGAGAATGGAATGCATTGCCTGGTAAAGGCGGTGGAGGGAAATTCAATTTACGCATTCAAGCGGACATCGGATGAATATTTGGATAAAAATAATGCGGAAGGGTATGGGGTAAAAGCAGGAGATTGGCACGAGCTAATGATGCTCAATTTTCAAGCTGGTGCAGCCCAGTGTTGGACCAAATGTCCTTCTGCTGTGCCATAACACTTCTGTGAGAGAAGCAATTCCTCTGCATCTCTGTCTTAAATGGGGAACCTCTTTCTCTGAGATTATGCTGTCTGGTCCCAGATTCTACCACAAGGGGAAATAACTTCTCCATTTCCATCCTGTCAACCCCCTAAAATTCTTGTATGTTTCATTAGGGTCACCTCTCATTCTTCTCAACTCCACTAAGTCATTAATGTAGATTATAAATGGTTTATTTAAAATCACAAGCTTTCGGAGCGCTGCTCCTTCATCAGATGAAGTCACTTGTGATTGTGATTTCGAATAAACCTGTTGGACTCTAACCTGTGTTGGGTAACATCTGTCCAGATCCCACTTGTTACAGCTTACCAACCCAAAGTGTCTTGTTATCTCAGTTAACCCTGTCCATTTACCAATCCTCAATCTGTGCTGATATAAACTCCCCAACTTCACAATCCATTTTTTAGGCAACACAAAGTAAAATTACACAAACAAAATTAAACATATAAGGAAGGTCAAATGAAAATCTGAACCATATGAGGAAAACCTACCAGCTGACATTTTGCGCTGGCCTTCTTTTGCCTTTTTCAGATATTTTTCCATTTCTCTGTCACGTAACCTGGCAAAACATCACAGAAGCACAAATGCATTGATAGCTAACGAGTCCTGGCAAAGCTGTACCAAGCAAAGGAACAGAAACAAAATACTGCTGATGCTGGAAATCTGAAATAAAAAAAAAACAGAAAGCGCTGCAGAAGCTTAGCAGCATCTGTGGAGAGAGAAAAACTGAGTAAATGTTTGGAGTCTGGTATGACCCTTCTTCGTTAGTCTTCCTAAGCAAGGGAATCGCTGGTTTGGAAACGTACCCTTAATGTGTAGATGAAATAAACATTTTGCACATTTTTTATCAGAAGCTTGAATTCCTCTTAGTCTGACTAAGTAACATAACAGAAACATACAGTAACAGTAAAATTGATTAAATTTATTTGGATCAAAACATGTTCTACCAGAGTAGGTAATAATTTAATATTTAAACATGTTGTTTGCACATATTTTGAGTCTAAATCTGACTTCAAGTTGTCATATTTTGGATCATAGCATAGTGTCAACTTTAGGAATGGACAATAAATGTTGCCTGGTCAGCAACACCCTCATTCCATGAATGAATAAAAAAAACTCCATTTCACATTTGTCACGCTGTAATTATAATTCCCACCAGTGATGGTGCTGTAGCATTTCCTAGGCTTTACTTCAGAGAACATACAAATGTAAGGTTTTATCTTTATCCTACGGAATATAAAAACAGAGAGCTGTGCAAAAGTAAACTCAGAATATATGATGAGATGAAAACTGAGTTACTTTGGTATACTGGTTCAGTTATTCTCCTGTCTTCTATGTGAGGATTACAATTCTTTCCTGAATCATTTTATGAAAATTAAACCAACTGGGGATGGACTAATCAACACTCAAAAAGGAGATGAGGCTTCAAAATGCAAATTAATTAGACAATTGTGATCAAGTAGTCATCTAATGTCATCTTCTAGCAATTGACTATGGCGATTCATGTACTGAGTCAGCTATTTTGTGTTTTTTGACAGTAGGGAATATTGCTTCTACATAAATGATTTGGAGGAAAACGTAGCTGGTCAATTAGTGAGTTTGCAGACAACGATGCAAAGATTGTGAGGAGGACTGTCAGAGGATACAGCAGGACACAGATCAGTTGGAGGCATGGGCAGAAAAATGGCAGATGAGGTTTAATCTGGACAGGTGATGCATTTTGGAAGGTCAAGTACAGGTGAAAATTATACCATGAATGGCACAGCCCTTAGGAGTATTGATATGCAGAGGGATCTGGGTGCGCAGGTCCACAGATCACTGAAGGTGACAATGCAAGTAGATAAGGTAGTAAAAACGTCTATGGCACACTTGCCTTTGTTGGAAGGGGCACTGAGTAATAGGATAGACACATTATGCCGCAGCTTTATAGAACTTTAGTTAAGCCACACTTGGAATATTGCATACAGTTCAGGTCACCACACTACCAGAAGTATGTGGTTGCTTTGAAGACAGTACAGAAACAGTTTACCAGGATGTTGCCTGGTATGGGGGACTTTAGCTATGAAGAAAGGTTAGATGGACTGGGTTTGTTTTCACTGGAACGCAGGAGGTTGAGGGGTGACCTGATAGAAGTTTATAAGATTGTGAATGGCAATAGATAGAGTGACAAGTATGAGGCTTTTTGCCAGAGTGGAGGGAACACTGGTTCAAGGTGCAAAGCAGGAAGTTTAAAAGAGATGTGCGAGGCAAGTTTTTCACACAAAGGGTGGTGAGTGCCTGGCACACACTGCCAGAGGAGGTGGTGGAAGCAGACACAATAGCAGCTTTCAAGAAGCACCTGGATGAATACATGAATAGGAAAGGGATAAAGGGATAGGGATCCTGTAAATGAAGAAAGTTTCAGTATTGAAGGGGAAAATGTGTCGGTGCAGGAATGGAGGGCTGAAGGGTCTGTTCCTGTGCTATATCGTTCTTTGTTTTTTGCTTAAAGCTAAACTTTGAAACTAAACCAAAGCAATGACTATAGGTAGTAAATTACCTCAGTGCTGCTTTATCCTTGGCTTGCTCCCTCTCGAGTACACTGCCAAACGGAAGGTGAGGAGAGATATCAATCATTTTCAGACCAACTTTCAAACGCATCAGATCCTCTTCTTTCAGAAGGAACTCAAACAAATCTCGATATTGCTTACAGCAGAAGAGCTGTCAAGTTAAAAAACAACACATTATTAAAGGTTTACATAGAAACGTAGAAAATAGGAACAGGAGTAGGCCATTCAGCCCTTCCAGCCTGCTCCACCATTCAACTCACTGTTCTTTAGCTACTTTTTCTCCATACTCTCTGATCATTTTAGTCCTAAAAACTATATTTAATAGCTGTAATAATATAACAATTTTAGTTAATATTAATTAAATATTAGTTAATATAACGAGATTTAAAATAAAAACCAAAAGAACTGCAAATGCTGTAAATCAGAGACAAAAACAGAAGTTGCTGGGAAAGTTCAGCAGGTCTGGCAGCACCTGTGAAGAGAAATCAGAGTTAACGCTTTGGGACTTGACCCGCAACGTTAACTCTGATTTCTCTCCACAGGTGCTGCCAGACCTGCGGAGATCTTCCAGCAATTTCTAGATTGAAAATATGTTCATAAAACAAAGAACTGTGGACTGTGGCGATCTGAAACAAACAGAAACAGAAATTGCTGAAGGAACTCAGCATCTGTGGAAAGAGAAATGGAGTTAACGTTTCGAGTCCTGTGACCCTTCTTCAGAATATGGATAATGTAGCATAATGTAGGGTATGCAGGGTAGTTTGATCTTAGTAGGAAAAAAGGTAGGCACAACATCGCGGGCCAAAGGGCTTGTACTGTGCTGTACTGTTCTATGTTCTAACTGACAAACTGACCCGTTGGAGTGGAAGGACTGTGGATGCGTACACATGGGATCTGTGGGCTTTTTTTCTAGACCTGAGTTGCATTATTTAAGGAGACACCAGGCAACCAGCAGGGTTGCATCAATAGGGAAACAACTTCAGGAGGGTGAGTCACTTAAGAAAGCTTTCACATTTCTCCTGAAGACCGATGCTGAGAGATACCTGAATAAAGCAATGCGCCAATTCTGAGGCTTAACTGAATTGATTAAGCAGCTAACCGAGGCAGCGTGACAGATTTTTTAAAATTTTGTTGTCACATGTATTTCACAGTAAGAATACATTGAAATGCAGTGAAAAGCTTTCATTTGTCTCCACTTTGAATAATTTAAGAATAGGGAAAAATAAAGATACAGCTTGAAGAGAGGCAGAGGTGGGGAGCAATGGGAGCGGATGATGGCCTTAAAGCTTTGTCAAATTCAAACAAAATTGAAAAGTAAGGATGACGGTGGAGGGAATTGTGAAGAATGGGAAGTCGAGGAAAAGTGGGAACAGTGACACACAAGAGATCTAGGAGAGTTTTGTAGGGTGTTATTACCACTATAGAGATAGGGAAAGGATATTGAAATGCTAAGGCAAGAATTTTTAAATATTTGGCACTGAGAGTCCAGGAAGCAATTTAAGACGACAAGGATTATGCTGAATGTGCAGTGTTGAATAACAGAACATGAGTAATAACAGCAGTAGAAGTGGGTCATTTGAAACCTATAGCCCATTGAATAAAATCATGGCTAATGTTCTACCCCAATTCCATGTTCATGTGCTATCATCATATCCCTTAATTTCCTTCATAGCCAAAAATCTACTCATCTCTGCCTATTTATATTCAACAATGGACATCCACATCTGAGGGAGAGCTTCGAGTGAACCTTTTTCCCTTCTTGGTCTCAAAAGGCCGACTCCTTATCTTGAGACAGCAACTCCTGGTTTCTAGACTCACCACCCACAGGAAGCATTACCTTAGCATCTATCCTGTCAAGCCCTTTCAGAATTTTATACACTTCAACAAGATCATCTCAGTGCTGTTTTGATTCCAGCGGCAAATGGGCCTGATCAGAATTTGGGATGAACTGGAATTTATGGAAGAGGAAAAGGGAAGGCGTTTGGTTTGGCAGTGAAGTGGCCTCTTCATCACTGACCCACATTGACAGCAACTCGCCAAGACTCCTTCGAACACACCTTCCAAAGACGTTGGAACGGCATGACCTGCAAGTTCCCCTCCAAACCAGGCACCACCCCGATTTGGAGCAATAACGCTGTTCATTCGCTGCTGCTGGGTCAAAATCCAGAATTCCTTCCTAATTGGCACTGAGGGTGCAACCTACACCAACCAGGTGGAGAGCAATGGTTCAAGAAGGTGGCTCACCATTGACTCCTGAAGTGCAATTCAGAACGTGTTATAAAATCTGATCTCGCCAATGGCATCCAGAGGCCGTGAATTAATTAAAAAGGCAAAGTTCGGAGTTGCAACTTTTGGAGATGACAATGACTAGCACCAGGATCAGATAGATTGATGATACTCAATGTAAAACCTCACGCACAAAGAATGGTTACATGGGTTCAGTGATGGAGGGTCAGCAAGAAACACTGAACTTGAATTATTGCATTTGATAGATCACAAAAAAAAGGTCTTGTGGAACTAGATGAAAAGTGGGGAAAGCATAAGACTAAATGTACTTACGGTTTCAATTGGTTTTGCTCCCAGTTGTTTGAGAGTAGCTATGGGCTTTAAGTTTTTGCCACAAAATTGGCACAAATCAAATCCGACTGATACCTAGAGAAGAAATCACAGTGGTCAGTTCTAAATTTTACACAGCACACTGAAGTCTGTAACTGAAGCAGCTACAGCTGTGTGAGGATAATGAAAAAGGAACTCTGCTGCTGCGTATGACAGAGCATCTGGACTTGGTCTGAGATTGATGGAACAAGAGGAAGAACTCATCTGGCCTCTCATTCCCATGGCAGGTCTCTGAAAGAATTATCCAGCCTGCCCCACTCCCTGCTCTTTCCCTGTTGCCCCTGCACATGTTTAAATATTCATCTAATTCTCTTTTGGAGGTTTCTGTTAAAATCTGCTTCCCTTCAGGAAATGCATTCCAGATCATCGTAACTTGTTGCATAAAACAAAAAAATCCCCTAATTTCTCCTTTAGTTCTTTTGCAAAGCATTTTAAATCCATTTTATCATGTCACCAACTATCAGTTTCTCCTTATTTACTCTAAATAAATCAGAATGCGATGTAGCAATTGGAGCAAAATCTCTGTTTTCCTCAGAAACATATACTGGTTGCATATCAGCCTGCAGACGGAGGAGGGAGATTGGGACAATTGGAGGATATCGACTGCCATGTCCATGTGACTGGCTCCGAAACCAGCATTGCCTGCGAATGTGGTACCTACACATTACCAATCTTCTCTGCAGCATGAAGATATAAAGTAAAAACAAAGCCATGTCTTATTAAAGGAATTATACAATCTTATGGCACCAAACTGTTGTACTTGAGCTACCTTTTTGAAACAGCCTTTGCACATCGTGCTAATTACCACACTCTTTGTCTGAGACCCTGCAGGTTCCTCATCCTCACATACTTAGTGTAAGTTATTTAGAATGTCAGTTTCTGATGTGGTTCCTTGGTTAAATACCGTTGCCTGTATGATAACAGTCTGAACATTCCCTATATGTTAGTCCTTATAAAATATGCCAGGAATGCTAGTTCTTGTTGAGACAGACATCTTGAAGTTTATTAACAACATGCTTACTGTTGTTACGGCTACACTACGTGACTGCAACATTATGCACAGCTGGCTGGTTGACTGACTACACACTTGCATGTGACTGCTGAAGGCAAGGGACAGACCTCTATACTGGAACCTCACATGTCATGATATCATCTAATTATCTTAAAGGGACATCTTAACATCTTAAAGGAGTCTATGCAATAATACAACAGCTACCATTGGTTTTTCAATTGGACCATTCCAAATTTACAGTTAAACACCCACTCAGCAAAGGGACGTTTTGTTTCCAATTTGCTTTGAAACTTCTCATGGTCTTTAAAACCTTGGTTCTTACCCATCTCTATTCAGTGGCGACCAATCCAAACCTTTCCAAAGTGTTCTTACAACTGAAGTTCTTCACCCTGGTAAAAATCCCAGGAAACCTCCTCCCTCTGAATCTTTTCCAAAGGTTTGACAAATTTTCTGGAGTGTAGGACCCAGGGTCATCTGCAGTGTTCCTGCTGAGGCCAAAGCAGTGATTTATAATGTTCAAGAATAATCTCTTTCTTCTTCTTGCTTTCTCTGCCTGAAGGTTGCTCTGATCCATGTCACGATAACCTTCCCCAAGGGCAGGGCCATGAGGCTGGCCCCTAGCCCACCCTATCAGGGGCAGGGACTAAAGCCCATGCTATTAGTATTGATCGGATCCATTCTGAAAGTCCAACCAACTAGCATTCCAAGGAGTCGGAGTTGTTGTGGCAACACACACCTTTACCGTGGTACAGATAGTAAGAACTGCCGATGCTGGAATCAGAGATAACACAGTATGAAGCTGGAGGAACACAGCAGGCCAGGCAGCCTCAGAGGAGCAGGAAAGTTGACGTTTATCCTTTACTGTGGTAGTCCTGTATCTATGGGTAGTGATGGTAGAAGCTCCAATTTCTCTCCCTCCCTCACAGCCTGCCATTGATGTTTGTTGGAAGGACTGACAATACTTGACCTCTATGACTGCATTATGAACACACCTTCCTTCGATTACTAAATCCTAGCATCGGTCTTGAACCTGCAGCCTGTGGCTCAGGTACAGAACTATTACCCACTGTGTGAGAAGATCTCTTCCTCTCTTAATAAACCCGAATACTTCAGCGATTTGCCTCATCGCCTTCGCTTTGTATATACAGAAACAAACATCTACATGTTTCAAAATAATAGCATTTATAAGACGCTGCCTTTCCATGGTTTTCCTCCCAAAGTCACTTCACATATCTTTGGGTTGAAATCTATCTGCTGTGCCTCTGCCCACTGTATCATTCTGAATCCAATAACTATTCTCTTTCAACATTTCATCAATTGTTTCTTCCTCCACAGACGCTACCAGACCCGTTAAGTAATTGAAACATTTTCCGTTTTTATTTGAGATTTCCAGCATTAACAGTCATTTGCTTTTCCATGAGCAGATACCTTGGTGGGAAGTTAATTGATGTCTCATGATTAACACCAGCGTTTTCCTTTGCAATGAAGAGATATTATTTGAATCTGGTTCTCCCTGTTTTGAAATCATTTGAAACATTCTTGCCACACAATGCCAGGCAATCACCATCGCCAATAAAGTACAACCTAACCAGCATCCCTTGACATTCAGTGGTGTTACCATCACTGAATTCCCCCCCTATCAACAGTGTGAGGGTTAACATCGACCAGAATCTCACCTGCACTCACCACATAAACACAGTGGCTACAAGAACAAGTCAGATGCTAGGAACACTGTGATGAGTAACTCACCTCCTGACTCCCCACAGTCTGTCCATCATCCATGAGGCACAAGTCAGGAGTGTGATGGAATACCCTCCACTTGCCTGGATGGGTGCAACTCCAACAGCACTCAAGAATGAAGCTTAATAACATCCAGGACAAAGCAGCCCACTTGATTGGCACCACATCCACAAGCATCCACTCCCTCCACCACCAATGCTCAGTAGCAGCAGTATGTACTATCTACAGGAAGCACTGCAGAAATTCACCAAAGATACTCAGACAGCACCTTCCAAACCCATGACCACTTCCATCTAGAAGGACAAGGGCAGCAGATACATGGGAACACCACCTTCTTCAACTTCCTCTCCAAGCCACTCACCATCCTGCCTTGGAAATATATCACCATACCTTCGCTGTTGGTGGGTCAAAATCCTGGAATTCCCTCCCTAACGGCATTCTGGGCCTACCTACAGCACGTGGACTGCAGCAGTTCAAGAAGGCAGCTCACCACCACCTTCTCAAGGGCAACTTGGGTTGGGCAATAAATGCTGGCCCAGCCAATGACACACACCTCCCACAAGTGAATAAAAAAAAATAAATTTATACAATGAGTTATTTTGTTAATCAGTCCTGTTCTTGCTGCATGGGAGACATTGCATTGCATTTCCAATTAAGGAGCCTGTACCTACCACAGATTTTCTGAACTGGTTCCACCCTAGGTTTCTGGGAGATTTTGAAAGATGCGAATCTTCAACCTCAGGGAAGAAAGGTGTTTATGTCAGTAATGATAGAGATGTACTATAACAAAAACATCCAATTTTCCTGTTACCTACTGTGCTAAGAAAGAATCGGGAAGGTTTTCCCAGCATAAAGGATCCAGTGGAAAATTAAAACTCTTGCTCCCAACAGGTACAGACACTGGGGTTTTTGTTAAGGAAGGGTGTCAAGGGATAGGGAGCAAAGAAAGGGATAAAATAGAGTTGAAGTAGAATTCTAATTGCTGCTTTGAGAAATTCCTGTTTCAAACCAAAACTGAGGTGGAAATCATTTGGGTTGGAGAAAAAGAGAAAGAACCAGAGAAACTAGGGATGCAAGTTAGGAGATAAAGGAAGCAAAGAAGGAGTAGGAGAAGCGATGGAGAAAGAGTGGAGAGAGCCACAGCACTGAGGGATTTGGGATCCTTGTGCATAAATGACAGAAAGCTAGCGTCCAAGTTGAACAGAAGGCAAGTACACTGTTGGCCTTTATTTCAAAGGGAATGGAGTATAAAAATGGGTAAGTCTTGCTAAACTATAAAAGGCAATAATCAGATCACAGCTGGAGTACTGTGACCCTTGGTTCCCTTATCTAAGAAAAGATATACTGACATTGGAGGCAGCCCAGAGAAGGTTCACTAGGCTCATCTCGAGTATGGAGGGACTTCTTAATGAGGAGAAGTAGAGTAGGTTGGGCCTCTATTTAATAGAATTTTGAAGAATGAGAGGTGATCTTATTGAGACACAAGATAATTAGGGGATTTGTCAAGTGAGATGTGGAAAGGTTGTTCCCCCTTGAGGGAGAGTTTTGGACCAAAGGGCATAATCGCAGAATAAGGAGTACTCAGTTGGGTGAGAGATAGGAGGAATTTCTATTCTCAGAGGGCAGCGAATCTGTGGAATGTTTTGTCGCAGAGGCCATTAAAGCTGAGATAGATACATTTTTAGTCAGTCAGGGAATGAAGGGTGGGGATTATCACATCAGTCATGATCTCATTGAATGGTGAAGCAGACTCAACGCTCTGAATGGCCTACGTCATTCTAGACTCCAGAGTCTAACGGTCTTATGGGATGGCCGCAAAATATTGAAATGATCAGTTAGGGTAAAAGAAACTTGCTACATATCAAACCCACGAAAGGAAGGAAGGGTGAAATAAAATCAGCAAGGATACTTCAACTTAGTGTTTACAAAATGAAGGAGAAGAGATTTGAGGAATAGGTAATCCAGGATTTACCAAAGGTGAGATGGAAAAGGAAATGAGATTATTTAATTAAGCTGAAGGAGAACAAAGATCTGCCAGAATAATTCCAATGATACATTCTCAGGATAAGGGGTAGGCCGTTAGACTAATATGAGGAGAAATTCCATCACCCAGAGTGTGGTGAGCCTGTGGAATTCTCTGCCACAGAAAGCAGTTGAGGCCAAAACATTGAATGTTTTCAGGAAATAGATAGATATAGTTCTTTGAGCTAAAAGGATCAAAGTGGGTACAGGGTACTGAGTTGGATGAGCCATGATCATATTGAATGGCGGAGAAAGTCTGAAGGGCCGAATGGCCTACCTTTTCCTATGATCTATGTTCCTGGATTCTTTGGGAAGGAAGGAAATAATGGGAGCTGTAAGAATTCCATTTCATTATTCTACATGGGAAGATTGACCAATATAATTTCAAACATTAACAGTGGTTACTACATCATGACACTATTTCTATCCCTCATTATTTCCCTTGGTATTATTGTATATAGTTTAAATATTTTAATTCCAGTCCTGATCTGAAACAGTTAGGCTTTTAATAAGAAGCCTTGATGACGACTGTGTGTTCGCCGGGTTTATTTTGAGCCATGTGGTTCCTTCACTGGGCCCAGTGCTCACCATTAGTCTGTTACTCCTCTTGAACTGTTCCTCACTGAAGGCATGTTCTTCCTGCATCTGTTTATACGACAAGAAGCAGCTTCTATTAGTGTCATCAGAGTGATGTTTTTGCATTTGCATGTAACGCCTAAGAGTCCTCTCCTGTGATTTGACCCAGAATGAGGAGGTAAGTGGACTTGGAACTCACCATCATGTATTCACTCGGAGGTGTATTTGAGCAGGTTGTAATTCAAATAGTCTAACTCCTACTCTGTAGAGTAACATCTCAGCTGCTGACCCCATTAAGCTGACAGTCTGGCTGAGAGTGGGGACAAATGTTGTAGAGGGAATAATGCGTTTCAATTGAATCCAAGCACTCTGCAATGTGACCCTGCAGTCTGGAATAATGCACAGTGACATTCAAACAACCTTTGTTATCTCCAATTCCTGAGTGGCAGTGTTCAGGACTAGGGGGATGGGCAGGGGGTGTGGCATTTGGTGGGTGAGTTGGTCAAGGCTTATTGTTGAGCAGTGCTGGAAAGTGGGACTCTTTTCCATATTCTACATCCTGCATCCACAACAAAACCTCCAACGCCACTCTCAGTGGTGATTCCCCATCAATACGACAATGTATTGTCTCTGATTTCCAAACCAGATGTCCTGGTGGAATCTCTGTGTGAGTTTGAAAACGGATGTGAATGTCTAACTGGGTGCCCCACCACCCTAACCAGGCATTCAGTCTCACCCTCAAAGATGTATAACAAGGGCCTTGATAAACTCAGAAACAAAACAGACAGCCTGACTTTTTACTTCAATCTAAGTCCCTACAGTCCCTTTCCAATGTCCTTTGGGAAGGAAACTATCATCCTAACTTGGTCTGGCCTACATGTGAATCCAGACCCACAGCAATGTGGTTGACCCTTAACTTCCGTCTGGATAATTAGGGATGGGCAAGAAAGGCTGGTCGAGCCAGCGATGCCCTTAACCCGTGAATGAATTAAACAAAACTTTACCAAAAATTTGCTGTTTTCTAGTTTTGTCATTCACTTCCTGCCTCCTGTCAGTATTCTCTCTCTCACCCTGAGTCTAATCGAGTTGTGGGGAATGGTCTAATGCATGCCCTCTGCCATTTCTGTAAGCAGTAATAGAGGGCAGGTTTTCAGTATTGGCCTTGAGTTTCCAGGAATCGAATATGAAGCTCTGTGCAGCTGAGAAAAGTTGTCGACAAAATGACAAAGACTGATTTCTCCAGCATTGCCTCGAACGCTTCTATCTATCTGTCAGGACAAAAAGGAACAGAAAACGGGTCTAGGAGGAGGAGCCTGCTCGGCTGGCAGCCAAGCATCATCAATTGGGTAATGAGTCCTCTTGCTTTCCAATTGGCTCAGAAGGCAGTGTGCCACAAGGATGGATGGGTTGGCCAACTATTGGCTACGCCTAGGGGAAGTCATGTGATGAAACCTCTAGGAATACATTAAATCCCAGTTGGCAACCCTGAATAGGGGGCACATGAGATCAGCCATCTTTGGGGCAATTTTAAACCCCAGCCTCTCCATCAGGCTGGGGTGGAGTAGTGTTTTAACATCCTCCCCATCAGTTTTCTGATGAGCGGGTGAGGTTAGAATCACCTCCCCAGTTGCCCCTGCTTACACTTCTCCTTGATCAAGCTGTGGATCTTGGACCGAAGTGATGAGCACGACCCAATTGCACAATTTGTCAAAAATAATGCTCTTGCCAGCTCAGTGCCATTTTAATTTAATTAATTAGTCTCAGGGGAGTGTTAGAGTAGCTTTCGCAAACCATTCTTTACAATACACCCATTGGGCATTCCATACCCCACACTAACGCCCCTACATCCTGCCTCCAAGTTAGACTAAACATCCTCTTATGAAATGGAAGCACTGACAGCATTTTCAAATAGCTTGGCAAGTGCACAGATTTAAAACATCAATGTGGGAATCCTTAAGGATAAATGGCATACGGGCATTATCCACAAAAGGCAGGAAAGTTTAACACTATTAGATCAATCATGGTCTCATTAAATGATGGAGCAGATTAGAATGGCCAAATAGCCTACTTCTCTCCCATGTCTAATGGTCTTAAGTGGATACACTGGTTCTGGTATATATATGACGTACAGCTGGGATATAATGTGATGAATCATTACTGAAGTTGACTTATAGAGTCTCTGCTTTGCTGATCAGAGCTGAGTCAATAGCGAAACAGTTACATTCAGTGTTAACATCAAAAAACATCATACTTACTAATTTTTTCTGGCTCCACTGCCAATATTCCTTAATCTCACTGATTTCCTTCACTTCTTTTAACCAAGTGCTCCTTATCTAAATTGAAAACAGCAATATGATGTTATACAAAATATACAAAATTTTGTCAAATTTCTATTTTTCTACATATTACGAATGAGATCAAGAGATAGAGTGGACAGTGGGGAAGAATGGTACAGAGGTAGATGGTCAGCAACGGTCTGTTTAAATGATGGAACAGGCTCAAGGAACATTGTGGACGACCCCTGTTACCATGTCCTACGTTCCAATTCTCTCTTACTTTTAGGGCAGGGCAGTATTCCTAGATTGAATAACTATTTCTTCCCAGTCCTTTCTCCTTAGCTGTTAGGAAGTAAAGAATCAGGGCTCAACACGCAGAACGTTGGAGAAACTCAGCAGGTCTGGCAGCATCTGTGGAGAGAGAAACAGTTAACACTCAATTCTGTTCTCAGTTCTGAAGAGGAGTCATACCAGACACAAAACATTAACTCTGTTTCTCTCTCCACAGATGCTGCCAGACCTGCTGAGTTGCTCCAGTGTTCTCTGAGAGATTTTTTTCCCTCCCAGACCACATCCTTCCAATTGATTGGTCCATCATTTGAGAATGAAGCCATGTGTGGAGGTAACACTCAAGCAGCGATGATCTAGTGTTCAAATACTGCACAGAGGTGGTTCAACAATCCTGGAAAGGAGTCATCTTAGAATCATAGAATCCCTACACTGTGGAAGCAGGCCATTCAGCCCATCTAATCCACCTCCAATGAGCATCCCACCCAGATCCATTCCCCTGTCCTATCCCTGTAACCCTGCATTTCCCATGGCTAACCTAACTAGCCAACACATCCCTGGACACTATGGATAATTTAGCATGGCCAATCCACCTAACCCACACATCTTTGGATTGTGGGAGGAAACCGGAGCACCCAGAGGGAACTCAAGCAGACACGGGGAGAATGTGCAAACTCCACACAGACAGTTACCCACGAGTGGAACTGAACCCAGGTCCCTGGTGCTGTGAGGGAGTAGTGCTAACCACTGAGCCACTGTGCCATGACCAGGAAGCACAAGTGGGAAAATTGGAAAGAGAACATTGCATGCTGGAGTTTCAGCCCCAAATTCCGTGTCTAATGGCCTGCTTGATTGTTGGGTCATGGAACTGCCCTGGATATTCACCACGGCATGGGGGTCATTTAGGTGACCAGACTGCTTGAGAGTGATGTAGAATCCAACAGTGAGAAGCTCAGTCCCTGCAAGTACTTCACACCAGTGTTTACAAAATGAAGAAGGCAATGGGGAGGTAATGGCATGGTGGTATTATTGCTGGACTGTTAATCCAGAGACCCAGATAATGTCCTGGGGACCGGGGTTCGAATCCCACCATGACAGATGATGGACTTTGAATTCAATGAAAAAACCTGGAATTAAGAATCTAATGATGACTGTGAATCCATTGTCGATTGTTGGAAAAAACCCATCTGGTTCACTAATGTCCTTCAGGGAAGGAAACTGCGATCCTTACCTGGTCTGGCCTACATGTGACTCCAGACCCACAGCAATGTGGTTGACTCTGAACGATTAGGGATGGGCAATAAATGCTGCCTGGTCAGTGACGCTCTGATCCCATTAATGAATAAAAAAAAATTCAGGAATAGGATGTCCTGGATTTGGCACAAATGAGATGAAAAATATGAGAAAGTAAAGGGAAATTAAATGATTTAGTTAAACTGAAGGAAAACAAGCGTCTGTCTAAATATATCCAAGGATTCTCCCCATGTCTGCGTGGGTGCTCCAGTTTCCTCCCACAGTCCAAAGATGTGCAGGTTAGGTGGATTGGCTGTGCTAAATTGCCTGTAGTGTCCAGGGATGTGTAGATTCAGGGGGATGGGTCTGGGTGGGTGCTCTGAGGGTCAGTGTGGACTTGTTGGGCCGAAGGGCCTGTTTCCACACTGTAGGGATTCTATTATTCTATGGTGATTCAGTGGGAAATGAGGAAAGAAATCCTGAACTACAATCCCATCTTGTTCTTCGCTTTACACTTGGGAAATGAGTGTCCTTCAGGTTATTTATGACCAGTTGTCTCTATCTAAAGGACAGAGATGCCTTTGGTCTTTTGTACACCCTGGCTATATCCTTTATTCAGTATGGTGCACATGAAGCACTGCACCTAAAACAAAATTCACTGGAATTTCCTGTGGGAGTCCTAATCGCACAAAGGATTGCCAGTATGACTGGTGGACTGGAATATCTGCACATCTTCTGTCAAAGGTCCAGGGAGCCTGGCTTGAAAAAAACCCTAGGTCCATGTAAGGTAAGACATCACTGTCCACAGCTCAAAGTATGTAAAAGTACATGATGCAACAGCAACTCAGACTCTGAGTGAGCTGTAACACACCACCAACTGTTGAGAAAGTGGTTAAAATTAATTTTGTTTGGAGAAAGGGAGACATTAGCTAAAATAGGCACATTTAAAAGCTTCTGAAAATAATTGCTTTTAAAACTTACCAAAAAAACCATAAACTAATATTGTGAGCAAATTGTCCTGTATACTTTAGAAAGTCAGTTTTAGTTATTTAAAATCAGGTATCTCTCAGATGGCAAATTCTGATCACCGGAATTTTGTGAAAATCAGCTGTAAATATTACACTGCACCAGGTTACTGTTCTTAAATCCAGTGAGGAGTATATTTTAAAGCATAATTTTAATTCTACATTATCTTCTAAAACATTGCTTCATTGCACTGGATCTTGGCAGATTTTTGCACAATCTAAAAGTGTTTGAGCCGGAACTTGCAAAACTAGCTGTTTTGGGAGCCATTTTCCGATTGAACTTGAAGCAGAAGCACAATATTAATTTTGCAGAAGTTGCAATTTCACCAGCACATTGAGGCAAGATGTATTTGAAACCTCAGGCTCACATCAGTTATACCCAATCAGTGCCTAAGGTTGGGACGCACAAAACCTTTGATACCTGTCACATCGTCTGCAAGAGGGAAATGGTGTTTGATGTTGTCCTGTCAAAGGGGCAGGAACTACCAAATCAATGGCGGTGCAAAGAAACAAGTTAAGGAGAGTGGATACACCAAGGGCATTAGAAGGAGCAGTTCTACCTTTTGCATGCCACCTTACAGAAAAGTATAGAAGAGATAGCAGTCATGGCTCAGTTGTAACACTTGCACCGCTGAATAAGCAGGTTGTGGCAGGTTCTCCACTATCGCTACACAGAAACATTAGCACAATGTCCAGGCTGATGCCCCAGTACTAAGGGAGTGCTCTCAGGTGTATGTGAACATAACACATATTGCACTATTTCAAAAAGAAGACCTGCATTTACATAGCATCTGTGATGATCTCAAGATAATACAAAATGCTTAACAGCCAATGATGTACAATCAAACTCTTGTAAGTTTGGAACTGTCATAGCCAAACTCCCATAAACAATGATACAGTAGCAATCAGATCATCTATTTTATTTGTGATGTTGAGTCATCTTGTGTCACCACCTAAAAGAACAGACAGAGCTTTTATTTAACATCTTATCTAGAAGACAGTCCAACAGTGCAGTGTTGGGGAGGTGTTACCCTAGTGGTATTAATCGCTAGAATATTAATCCAGAAACTCAGCTAAGGTTCTGGGGACCTGGGTTTGAATCCCACCATGGCAGATGGTAGAATTTGAATTCAAAAAAAAATTCTGGATTTTAAGAGGCTAATGATGATGTGGAGGTGCCGGTGTTGGACTGGGGGTGGACAAAGTCAGAAGTCACACAGCATCAGGTTATAGAGCAACAGGTTTATTTGAAATCACAAGCTTTCCGAGTGCTGCCCCTTCGTCAGGTGAAGTGGAGGGAAGGGCACAGGCACAGAATTTGTACACATAGAGATAACGGCAAGATAAGGGGGAGAGGGACCAGCAGGAGGTCATTGTACACATTGGAACTAATGACATAGGAAGAAAAAAGGATGAGATTCTGAGGGGAGAATATAGGAAGTTAGGCAGGAATTTAAAAAGGAGGTCCTTGAGGGTAGTAATATCTAGATTACTCCCGGTGCCACAAGCTAGTGAGGGTAGGAATAGGAGGATAGAGCAGATGAATGCGTGGCTGAGGAGCTGGTGCAGGGGAGAAGGATTCACATTTTTGGATCATTGGAATTTCTTCTGGGGTAGAAGTTACCTGTATAAGAAGGACGATTGCACCTGAATTGGAAGGGGACAAATACACTGGTGGGGAGATCTGCTAGAGATGCTCGGGAGGATTTAATCAAGTTGCGGAGTGGGGCAGGGAGGTGCAGATGAGACCCAGAGAGAGACTGAGGAAAGAGATCAGTCTGAGACCGGTACAGCTGGGAAAAGGAGCAAGTCAAACAGTCAGGGCAGGCAGGAACAAAGCAGAGAACGAGGTAGGACTGATAAATTAAACTACATTTATTTCAAAGCAAGAGGCCTAACAGGTAAGGCAGATAAACTCAGGGCATGGTTGAGAACATGGGACTGGGATATCATAGCAACTACAGAGATGTGGCTCAGAGATGGTCAGGACTGGCAGCTTGATGTTCCAAGGTATAGATGCTATAGGAAGGATAAGAAGAGGGGGCAAGAGAGGAAGGGGAGTGAAGTTTTTGATTAGGGATAACATTACGGCTGTACTTAGGGAGGATATTCCTGGTTATACATCCAGGGAAATTACATGGGTGGAACTGAAAAGTAAGAAAGGGATGATCACCTTATTGGAATTGTACTATAGACCCCCAGTAGTGTTAAAAGTTTGGATAGAGAGGAATATGTTAAGCGTGAACAAGAAAATTTTCTGATTCAGTATGTGGATGTACCTCCTAGAGAAGGTGCAAAACTTGACATACTCTTGGGAAATGAGGCAGGGCAGGTGACTGAGATGTCATTGAGAGAGCACTTCGGGGCAAATGACCATAATTCTAAAAGTTTTAAAATAGTGACCGAAAAGGATAGACCAGATCTAAAAGTTAAAGTTCTAAACTGGAGGAAACCCAATTTTGATGGTATTAGGCAGGAACTTTCAAAAGTTGATAGGGGGCGGATGTCTGTAGGTAAAGGGACGGCTGGAAAATGGGAAGCCTTCAAAAATGAGATAATGAGAGTCCAGAGACAGTACGTTCCCTGTTAGGGTGAAGGGCAAGGCTGGTAGGTGTAGGGAATGCTGGATGACTACAGAAATTGACATTTTGGTCAAGAATAAGAAGGAAGCAAATGTCAGGTATAGGCAAATAGGTTTCAGGAGAATCCAAAGGGATTCTACAAATACATTAAAGACAAAGGGTACCTAGGGAGAGAATAGGGCACCTTAAACATCAGCAAGGCCACCTCGGTGTGGAACCGCTGGAGATGGGGGAGATACTAAACGAGTATTTTGCATCAGCGTTTAATGTGGAGAAAGATATGGAAGTTATAAAACGTGGGGAAATAAATAGCAACATCTTGAAAAATGTCCATATTACAGAGGAGGTGGTCTTGGATGTCTTAAAACACAAAGTTGGATAAATCCCCAGGCCCTGATTAGGTATACCCTAGAGCTCCGTGGGAAGCTAGGGAATTGATTGCTGAGCACATTGCTGAGGTAGTTGTATCATCGATAGCACAGGTGACGTGCCGGAAGACTGGAGGTTGGCTAATGTTATGCTACTATTTTAAAAAGGTGGCAAGGAAAAGCCAGGGAACTATTGACCAGTTAGCCTGACATCGGTGGTGGGTAAGTTTTGGAGGGAATCCTGGTGGATAGAATTTACATATATTTGGAAAGGCAAGGATAGTCAACATGGCTTTGTGCGTGGGAAATCATGTCTCACTAACTTGATTGAGTTTTTTGAAGAAGTAACAAAGAGGATTGGTGAGCGCAGAGCAGTGAACTTGATCTATACGGACTTCAGTAAGCCGTTTGACAAGGTTCCTCATGGTAGACTGGTTAGCAAGGATAGATCACATGGAATACAGGGAGAACTAGCCATTTGGATACAGAACTGGCTCGAAGGTAGAAGACAGAGGGTGATGGTGAAGGTTTGCTTTTCAGGCTGGAGGCCTGTGAGCAGTGGTATGCCACAAGGATCGGTGCTGGGTCCATCGCTTTTCGTCAGTTATATAAATGATTTGGATGTGAACATAGGAGATATGGTTAGTAAGTTTGCAGATGACACCAAATTGGAGGTGTAGTGGACAGCGAAGAAGGTTTCCTCAGAGTACAACAGGATCTTGATCAGATAGGCCCATGGGCCAAGGAGTGGCAGATAGAGTTTAATTTAGACAAATGTGAGGTGCTTTTGGAAAGGCAAATCAGGGCAGGATTTACACACTTAACGGTAAGGTCCTGGGGAGTGTTGCTGAACATAGAGGCCTTTGAGTGCAGGCTCATAGTTCCTTGAAAGTGGAATCATAGGTAGATAGGATAGTGAAGAAGGTGCTTGGTATGTTTGTTTTTATTGGTCAGTGCATTGAGTATAGGAGATGGGAGGTCACGTTGTGGCTGTACAGGACATTGGTTAGGCCACTTTTGGAGCATTGCATGCAGTTCTGGTCTCCCTGCTATAGGGATGATGTTGTAAAACTTGAAAGGGTTCAGAAAAAATTTACAAGGATGTTGCCAGAGCTGGAGGTTTGAGCTATGGGGAGAGGCTGAGTAGCCCGGGACTATTTTCCTTGGAGCATCAGAGGCTGAGGAGTGACCGAAAAGAGGTTTATAAAATCATGAGTGGCATGGACAGGGTAAATAGACAAGGTCTTGGAGTGGAGGACTCCAAAACAAGAGGGCATAGGTTTAAGCAGAGAGGGGAAAGATTTAAAAAGGACCTGAAGGGCAACGTTTTCACTTAGAGGGTGGTGCGGGTATGAAATGAGCTGCCAGAGGAAGTGGTGGAGGTTGGTACAATTCCAATATTTAAAAGGCATCTTGATGGGTATATGAATAGGAAGGGTTTAGAAGGATATGGGTCAAATGCTGGCAAATGGGAGTAGATTAATTTATGATATCTGGTCAGCATGGACATGTTGGACCGAAGGGTCTGTTCCTATGCTGTACAGCTCTATGACTTTAATTCCGGGTAATTAAGAGTGAGATTTCCTGGTGTACTGCGTCAATGGTTATCCCACAATACTTGCAGTAGAAAGAGCAGACAGTCTGTTTGCAGTATAAGGGAATGCGATGTGTGCACATTGGCTGCTGTGTTTCCTATAACAGTGACTACATTTCAAACAAATTGGATGTAAAGTGCCTCAGGACATGCTTGATGCATGAAAGGCAAACTATGAAATGCATCCCTTCCTTTTACATATAGGAAGCTATTTTCTTACATTTCATTCATCTGATGGAGCCTTGACTGCCAGAGAAATTCACAATCCTAAAGTATAAAACTTACTGCAGGGCTGAATAATAGAAATAGTTACCTTCGGTCTTATAGCGTTATAATCAATCAGTTGCTCTTTGGATTCATGTTTATAAGCTAGAATGGTTGGCGGTCCCACACTGGGCAGTGAGTAAATGGCAGATTCAAACAGTCTTCCAGATATCCTGTCATCAATAAACTTCAACAAAGAGACAACAGTTACCATTAGGAAAAAGCATAAAGGCTGTGGAATAAACTACCAGTAGTGGTTGATATTTTAGTGATTTATAGGCAAGATTTTATGTCAGTATAACTTGAGTGACTTCTCATATTGGTTATTGTGGATTGATAGTCATCTTTCCTCTACAACACAGTCTGCTATATTTTGGTCAAGATGCAAGATATTGTCCTTGGGTCAATCATCTCAGACAATCCCAATAATCGTACACAAATCTCTCATCATCTTTTGCTGTAAAAGGTCATGATAATGACATCCTGATCAAACAAAAATATATTCCTATTGTACACCAACTTACAATAATATACCACAAACCAAAGCATGATTCTCATTATCTTCAAATGGTAAACTGAATATACTTCTTACCAGAACGTAACTCAAGCTAAAAATGAACAAACACATTACTCAATGTTCAACAGGAAAAATGGACACAACTTCGTTGTGAAGCAGTATTGTCTTCTGGCAGACTTTGCAGTCGTCCTCAATGTACATTTTTCTTCCAAAAATATGCTTTAGTTGTGTAAAATTTGGAAAGCACATTACTTGACTGGTCAAAGTGCAAAACAAAACCAATCACAATAGTGGAATGGCCTCCTTCTGTGCTGTAACACTTTGGTGATTCTGTGAAATCTGTTTCTTCCTATACTGCATGATATTCACTACATTTACTGTTGGTATCTGTTATTGAAGAGTCATTCTGCCGGTGTGCTACTTGTTTATGAGGTGAAATATTAAGCAAAAGCTGTTAGGAAATTGACAAGCCACGTAATATGTTTCTCATTGATCTGTTGTCAATGTTACATATGATCTGGTGATATTTTTCCACGCAGTAGGGAAGTATGCTAACCTATTCTGTTTTTGATTTGGACACAAGAACATAAGAAGAAAGAGCAGGAGTAACCAATTCAGCCCCTGCTTTGCCAATTTGATAATCTATCAAATGGATTTGATACAATACAGTGTGGAGCTGGAGGAACACAGCGGGCCAGGCAGCATCACAGGTGCAGGAAAGTTGATGTTTTGGGTCGGGACCTGATGCTGTCTGGCCTGCTGTGTTCCTCCAGCTCCACACTGTGTTATCTCTAAATAATTAAGCTATGTTGCTGCTATTTTGTTTATGTTAGTCAGAGAACACTGAGGATGGATACAGTACCTCTTCCATTAATTGAAATGAGAAACATTCCCTCAACATAGACCAAAGACTAAACCCTCCTGGTCTGTATGGCTAAGCCACTGGGATCATATAAATTTAACCAATTCACCTTTGATAATAACTTGACGTCAAATATCAACTCGTAAAAGATAGTAATGTTGGTCTGATGAGCGAAGTGGAGAGGTTGAAGAAAATCTCATAACAAATAGAGCATTCAGCAGTTGTACTGTTGTTTTATCATTTTTATTTTAAGTTAGTTGAGGAGCACTCTTAACCACAAAATGATGAAGGGCCTCTTCAACACTGTCAAGCAAGGGTTGTGTGGGTTGATTTGGAGGGAGGTACACTTCAGCATGTTCTCTGCTGAAACTTGAGGACGCTGTGTTATCCTAATGAAAGCTGCAGCCTGTTGAGGTTCAGCACATCTGATCAGTTTGCCATGTAAAAAGGAGTAGACCATTTAGCCCATCAAGTCTACTGCGCCATTTAACAAGCTCACGTCTGATCTGACAATCCACAACTCCACTTTCCTGCCTTTTGCCCATAACCCCTGATTCCCTTCCTGATTAAAAATCTGCCTTGAATATGCTTAATGACCCAGCCTCTACAGCCCTCTGAGATAAAGAATTCCACAGATTCACCTTCTGAGAGAAGAAATTTCTCCTTATCTCTGTCTTAAATGTGTCACCCCTTATCCTCAAATTATGCCTAGATAACAAGGTGTAGAGCTGGATGAACACAGCAGGCCAAGCAGCATCAGAGGAGCAGGAAGGCTGATGTTTTGGGCCTAGACCCTTCTTCAGAAAATGTTCATTTTCTTCATTTCATCCAGCTCTACACCTTGTTATCTCAGATTCTCCAGCATCTGCAGTTCCTACTATCCCTCAAATTATGCCCTCTGTTCCTAGACTCTCCCACAAGGGGAAACAATCTTTCTGCAGCTTCTCTGTCAAGTTCTCTAAGATTCTTGTTTGTTTCAAAAAGGCCGCCACTCCTTTTTCTATATTCCAGTGAGTACAGGCCTAATCTATAAAATCTAGTCACTCCCTCCATACCTGATATTCTCATTGAAACTTACAGAATACTGAGAGGCCTGGATAGAGTGGACATGGCAAAGATGTTTCCACTAATAGGAAAGACTAGCACCTGTCAGCACAGGTTCAGAGTGAAGGGATGACCCTTTAGTTCTGAGAGGAGGATGAATTTCTTCACCCAGAGGGTGGTTAATCCATGAAACTCCTTGCCACAGAGGGTTGTGGAGGCCATGTCATTGAGCATGTTTCAGACAGAGATAGATGGTTCTTGATTAGTAAGGGCGTCAAGGGTTACTTGGAGAAGGTAGAAGATAGGGCTTGAGAAACTTATCAGTTGTGATTGAATGGTGGAGCAGAGGTGATGGGCTGAACAGCCTAATTCTGTTCCTATTTCTCATGGTTTTTTGGTATCAGATTGGTGAAACTTCTCTGGACAGCCTGCAAAACCAGTATATGTTTTCTTAGATAGGGGCCCAAAACTGTTCACAGTATTCCAACTTTTTAGTGCCTTGCACAGTTTTGGAAAAAGCTCCCTACATTTATATTCCATTCCTTTTGAAATAAAAGCCAACATTCCATTTGCCTTCCTAATTACCCACTGAACTTGGAGGCTAGTTTTTTGTGATTCATGGATGAGGACTCTCAGGCCCTTCTGTTCAGTAGCTTTCGACAGTCTCTTACTGTATTTCAAGATAAGTCAGTCTGAGGGAGGTCACAGTTTTGTAATCAGTCAAGGAATTGAGGTAATGATCTGAAGGGGCTCAAAGCATGTGAGATCTGTGCTGTACTGATGATACATGGGTCCATTTGAAGGCCGTAATGTGCGCAGCCTGCTCTATACTTAAGCTTGGACATAAAGCATAGCTGATCAGACATGCAATATACTAAGGACTGGTGCATTGGCCTGAAGGCATACACAGGAGGATATGTGTTTTAGAGATAGTAGGAACTGCAGATGCTGGAGAATCCGAGACAACAAGGTGCAGGGCTGGACGAACACAGCAGGCCAAGCAGCATCACAGGAGCAGAGAGGCTGACGTTTCGGGCCTAGACCCTTCATCAGAAAAGGGGGAGGGGAAGGGGGTTCCGAAATAAATAGGGAGAGAGTGGGAGGCGGATAGAAGAGGGATAGAGG